ACCGCCCCTAATGCGAAGTCAGAACAATCGCACTCGAGGATAAAGGCCTTATAAGGATCAGCAATCTTCAACACCGGTGCCGTTGTGAAAGCATTCTTGAGGATTTCGAATGACTCGTTGCGCTTGGGGGTCCATTCGAACTTCACATTGTCCTGGGTAAGCTCGTGTAGTGGGCGTGTGATCTTAGAAAAATTGCTGATAAACCGCCTGTAGAAGTTGGCAAAGCCCAAGAATCGTTGTGTCTGATTGACGTTCTTGGGTGCAGGCCAGTCTCTCACCGCCGATACTTTCAAGGGATCCATACGAACTTGATTTTTCGAAATCAGTAGTCCAAGGTAAGCTATCTCTTTCTGGGAGAACCGGCATTTTTCCGGTTTGAGCCAAATCGAGTGTTCCGCTAATGTCTTGAGGACTTCTTCTACTACCTGCTCGTGGTCAACTACTGCTGGTGTGTAGATTAGTAAATCATCGAGGTATGCTGCTAGGTCCTTGCCAATCCGGTCGCGAAGGATGTCGGATATGAAGAACTGAAAATAGCCAGGGGCCCCGGTTGGGCCAAATGGCATCACCAAGGGTTCGAATTGGCCCCTCTTGCAAATAAAGGCCAGCTTTGACTCATCCCCTTCTTTCACTCGTAAGTTATTATATCCATTACGCATATCTAGTGAAGTATACCTTTCAGCGTTTCTCAGACTGTCCACTAATTCCATGGTTAATGGCAAAGGGTAGCGATTCTTGACGGTCAATGCGTTCAATCGTCGGTAGTCAAAGCACGGGCGCAAGTTGCCGTCTTTTTTGCCGGTGAAGAGCACAGGCGCGGCCCATGGAGACTTGGTACGTCGGATAGTTCCCTTCTCTAGACCTTCATCAATCATTGTATCTAATGCTTTTTCCTCAGCCAGTGATAACGGTATGATTTTTCCCGCTTGCGGCGTCGCACCCGGAACGAGATCCACTCGGAAGTTGTACCGTCGGTGAGGTGGTAAGGTCATGGCGTTTCGTTTTCTGAACATGTTGATATAACGATGATACCGTGTTGGCACTAATTCTTCGACTGGTTTTTCAATCTTGTCTTTTCCAGCCTCGGCCGCTAGTTTGGCGGAAATGTTCCATGACGGTGCCATCGCGCAGACTTCGGGTTTAAAGCTATTCAGGGGAAGAAAAAGCTTGTCATCTGTGACGACGGAAGGGCTCAAGACGGTAGCATGCTCACATTGCGGGGGCTGTATCACACTGATAAGGCCCTCAGTGTGAGCCCCCTTGCCTAAATTCCTAGTATTCCCCTCCTCGGCATGAAGTTGATCGGGGGTGTTTTTTGGTGAAGGCAACACTACTGGTGTAGTGGCAACTGGCCTCAGGTCGTTCGTAGGTAGGTTCTGTTCAGAGTTAATCCGGGGATGAAAAAGCTTGTCATCCGTTACAACTAACAATGCTTTATCCGTATCATACTCACATTGCGGGGGCTTTATCCCATTGATATGGCTGTCAATGAGAGCCCCCTCGCCTAGATTCCTAGCATTCCCCTCCACGGCATGAAGTCGATCAGGGGTGTTTTTCGGTTCAGGCGACACTGTTTGATCAGTGGCAATTGGCAACGCAGCAAGGTCGGTCGTATTTGATGTGGTCCTTGTGTTGTCCACAGGTCTGAGTAGGTTGTCGTGTTCTTCGGGTGTCTGGTTAAAGTTAATCCGGGGGTAGAGAAGCTTGTCATCTGGTACAAGGATAGGTGAGTCTTTTGTATCGTACTCACATTGCGGGGGCTTTGTCTCACTGATCTGGCCTTCAGTGAGAGCCCCCTCGTCTATGTTCCTAGCTTTCCCCTCCACGGCACAAGGTCGATTGGGGGTGGTTGTCGGCATAGACGACGCAATGGTGGTGGTGTTGCCGATTGTTGGGCGCGTAGGATTCTTTGGTTGAAGGCTTCCGTCTTTCCAGTTGATCCGGTGGCCATTCTTCTGGAGCCACGGCATTCCAAGGATTACGTCGTAAGCGTCCTTGATCTTTGTGACTAGAAATCTTGTTGACTCTTGATCTTCGTCAATAAACAGCTTCGCGTCGTGCGCTACACTGCGGGGTTGACCATCAAAACCATACACATCGCCTGCGGCAGGCAGAGCTGTCACAGGGAGGCTGGTTCGGTCGGCAAATTGGGTACCAAGCACTTCGTGCGTCGAACCACAGTCGACGAGTGCACGGGCTTGGACATTGGGGCTAGGATTGGGGTCTGTATGGGACGTGGCTTGGGGGTTATTTGATAAAGTAATGGTAGTAAAAATACGTGGGTCTTTTAATTTCTTGTTTTCATAATCACTACTATCAACTTCAATAACCTCCCTATCACCTCGGCTCAAGTGTGGCACGTCCGTCACTCTTGAGCGCCGCCATTTTTTGACTCCTCTGACCTGCTCCCTTCTCCCAATCTACTCTTTAACGCCGCTATCTTAGCATGTAACTCCGCCATTTTACCCTGACTCCTTCCTTTCCCTTTCTCTCTTCTTTTACACCACTTAGCAATATGACCACTACTTCCACACTGATAACACAATCTTTCATCTCCCCTACGCTTATACTCGCTAGACGTGATATCAAAACGGGTGCTCGAGATGTCCATAGCGTCAGGATCCGATGGGCGACTGGTGGTCGGTTGAGGGGGTCCATACTCGCCGCGAATATCGTTGTCGATGGCGCAGGCGAGGGCTGTGATGCTTTCGAGGTCGGCAAATGATTCACGTATCATGGCAAGTCAAACATCTCTCTTCAAACCTTGACGATAGTGGCTGATGAGCGTTGGAGTTTCCCACTGAGTAGTTGGTGCCAGTTGGTTGAAGATAACCGTGTATTCAGCAGCAGAGCGGGTTTGTTTGAGGACTCGGATGGCAGCCTCGGCGCGTTTCTGACGGTCGCTGTCAAAGAATACCGCTTCGAATGAACAGGCGAACTCGTCGTAGGTGAGAGGCTTTGCATCCGGCAACGGATTCAGCACGTGGTTCAAGAACGGCTGCGCCCACTTGACAGCATCTCCAGTCAGGTACGAAAGGGCGAACGTGATCTTGGCATCGTCGTTCTCGAATAGCGCCTTGTTGGTAATGATGTAGAGTCCAACTTGGCTTGCAAATGCCTCGGCCTTGGCACCTCTGGACCCGTCGAACTTATCAGGGGTCGCGACTTTTGGAGTCTTCGCCGCAGGTTTAGTCGCAGCCTCCGCTGCTGTTCGGCATGCGGTCTCGGCGGCCAGTTGTTGACTCAGCTGCTCGATTTGGTTGGCCATGGCTTGTAAGTCGATGGTGGGAGCGGGGTGACTAGTTTCAGCGTCCATTTCACCCGTTGACAGATAATCGGAGGTATCGGATGCCGCGGTGGAGTGATCAGTTGGGGGTTCGTAGGTAGGCATGATGGAGTGTTACGAGGGTGTAATATAGGACGTGGGTTTCGATGGGCTTTAGTAATTTTGATTATAACTTCTTCTTCTTTATACCACTTGAGGGTGACTTTAAAAAAATTTCAACTTCTTCCACTTTGAAAAAATTTTCAACTTCTTTTAAACTTGTGATTTCTTCTTTTTGACTTCTCTAACTTTGATGAGTAATTTATCTTCTTCTTGCTTCTCTCGGTTTGCCTTGATAAGACGCTACAATGTGTTAGGACCCGGGTCTGGGTGCTGGCGCGTGAGGGCAAAGGGAGAGAGGTGTGATCCAGCTATGATAGTTATTGTAGCGTGAGGGAAAAGGTCTACAACTGGTGTGTGCGTCTCCAGTTACCCAACAAGGGTGAAGTGTCACAGTCTTTGACATAGCCTCCCATGATCCGTGATAGAGGATCATAACAGATTCACCATTTCGATCATTTGGAATACAGTCAAATTGTCTTGGTCATTGGAAAGGAATCACAAGCAATAAATCAAACGAAGGTTATAAGGCTGAGAGAGTACTAGTTAGTAACTAGTAAGACTTAATGTCTTGTGACCAATAGAGCAAGCAAAGCACACCTGCTCAAATAAAGAGTAGAAATCGGTCAGAATGAATTAACAGCATAAGAACAACAAATACATAATGAGTTGATAATAACCTGAGAGAGTACTAGTTAGTAACTAGTAAGACTTAATGTCTTGTGACCGATAGAGCAAGCAAAGCACACCTGAGAGAGTACTAGTTAGTAACTAGTAAGACTTAATGTCTTGTGACCGATAGAGCAAGCAAAGCACACCTGCTCGAATAAAGAGTAGAAATCAGTCAGAATGAATTAACAGCATAAGAACAACAAATACATAACGAGCAAAGCACACCTGAGAGAGTACTAGTTAGTAACTAGTAAGACTTAATGTCTTGTGACCGATAGAGCAAGCAAAGCACACCTGCTCGAATAAAGAGTAGAAATCGGTAAAGAAAAAGAACACAAAGATAGAGAAAGAGTTGTTCTATTTATACCAATACTACACTTAGATGAGGTCACAGCACAACATAGTACTCACAGCCAATGACATCATTGCTCTTATACACAATTACTAATATTGATGTAAGAGTGGAAATAAGAAGAGAAATGATCATGATCATAAGAAGATCATAAGAATAAATCAAAGATAAGATAACCCAAACATAGATCTGTAAATCTTACTTCAATTCAATAATGGTACATTCAGAGGCCATCAGGATATAATTTGTTAAGAGTTCATCAATATATAAGTTGTTGAGAGGTTATCAAGATATATGTTGTTGAGAGGTCATCAATACCTAAGTTGTTGAGACGTCATCAAGACGTAAGTTGTTGAGAGGTTATCAATATATAAGTTGTTGAGAGGTTATCAGTATATAAGTTGTTGAGAGGTTATCAATATATAAGTTGTTGAGAGGTTATCAATATATAAGTTGTTGAGAAGTTATCAAGATGTAAGTTGTTAAGAGGTCATCAAGATATAAGTTGTTGAGAAGTAATCAAGATACAAGTTGAAGTAACAGTCAAGGATGGGAAGGAGGATACAGCTTCAATGAAACTGGGTATGAAGATCAACCAGAGGATTGACTATAGGCAGAACCACCAGAGGATTGACTATAGACAGGAGCATCAGAGTCGTGAGATTGTCGACTAGGTGTAGCATAGGCATCTTCTGAGTTAGTAGCAGGATTGAGTTCAAGTCCAAAGTGTTCCTTCAATGCGCCTTGAATGGCTTCAGCATCTAAGCATCTTCCCTGTCGCTTGATTGTACGTTCGGGGTTTGAATTTGAAAGTTCTTGATCGACAGAGCCTGCGACAGAGAGAATAGAACGTCAATTTTCTGGATACTTTATTGAAGCAGTAGATCTATGGAGAATTTTGAATAAAAAAGTGTACAAATTACTGACTTTGAGCTCGCGATCGCATCTTTCCTTTTGTTTTTTCAAGGGCTGTCTTGAGCTTCTCAGAGATCGAGTTGAGTGAGTGAGAACCTATAGACGGATCAGAGTATGATGTGTCAGTACTATTTAGATTTGTAAGGAGTTGGAATTCAGGATGGTACATACGTAGAACTTTCACAATGGAGTCTAATTTGGCCTCGATCAAGGTTTCAGATGGGGATGAGGGTCCAGCTACTGGTAAAGGTTCATCTGATCCACATTTGATGACCAAGAGCTCTTTGCGACTGGATTGGGGTTGAGAAGCCTCTTGGGCCGCTCGGATCGCTTGTCGACGTTTGCCCGATTCGTAATCCTTCAAAGTCATGGAGAATGAATATACCGACCGGACGCGAGTAAAGGATTGTAAGATCAAGATGACAAAGATAAAGAGACATACCAATCCATCCTTGTTGTAATCATCTGGACACATTCTTCTGATGTTGGTTCGACAGCGGACAGTAGGCTCGGGAGGAGGTGCAGAGAGGGTGTCGTCTAGGTGAATGACCAACGGCCTTTGACAGACAGAGTCCGCGCTTTCATCGGGCTCCATGGCACGGCGCTCAAGGCCTGAAGCATAGCTCTAAGAAAAGAAAAGATCGACAAGGAAAGGTGATGAGGACAAACGAGAGTAGAAAAGAGAACAAAACAGGATATGATCACTCACCACGTAGTCATCTTTAAAATCGCCAGTGAAAACTTCTCTTTCGTTTCCCTGGAATTTATGTAAGGTATATCTAGGTCCGTAGGTCATTTTGATGAAGTTGATAGAACTCAGTTGACCAGGGTGATGTGATCAAAACGAGGAGAAATTCTAGTTCGCGAGATTTGGAAAGTGATCAGGTGACAGGTAGAGAGAAAGGAACTGTATAAGCTTAGCATGGTGTACGCGTACTCCTTAGATGATGAGGACCCCGCGTCAAAAATCCGGGATCCTAGGCATGGATATGCATAATCATCAGCGACGAAGTCGTGATTTGCATATTATGGTTGACCTAATCTATTCGGCATACTTTGTACGCTTTTTCCTTTCAATACGCGGTTTTGGTCGCGTCAGAATCCAGCGTACCTTCAAAACAAGTAACATCTGAGTTGCCACAGAATTTACTTTGCACAGGTTGTTCAAGCAACAAATAAAACAACATGATATATCATCTTGTGAAGCTTTGGTGATCTCATCATCAGATTTAGGTGATCGATTAATGTGTCTATTCATGCACCAATCGCGTTGCATTCACATTGAGAAATGAACTTCATATCTTGAGACTGTCTCAAATCACCTCACATATGATCACTTTAAAGTGGAAACTGTCTTCCCATCTCTTAGTGAAGGTCTCAGATGTTAGCGGCTCCGCCCGGAATCTTTGGTGCTGTTATACGTGTGCACATCTGTACAAGTCGCTGTACGCTCTTTGCTTGCTCGCTCAATCATGAACCGGTGTCTTTGGATAATATGTCGGTAAACTTTAGTGCTGTTATACGTGTGCACATTTTCACAAGTCTATATACGGTCTTTGCTTGCTCGGACAATGGACCGGTGTCTCTAGACAATAAGTCGGTCTGTCTTCAAGACCCAGGAAGCAAGCTGTTCAGATACACGATTTGAAAACGTTTGTGTTGCTTGATCGTACATCTTCAAGGAGAGATCCGGTTTCTACTTCCAAAGCTGGTGAAATTTGGCGTAAATACATCGCTTAACATCGTATTGTCATACTAGATTCATACCTTTGGCTGCCTGACCGGTTGGGATTGATCTTACTATCACGACTCAAATCATGAGTTTGAACACAAGACTACTAATGAGTCAAGTTGAAAACAAACGAGGAACATGTGATCCATAATAGTTTGCCAGACATTGATCAACTTTGTTCAAATTAAGGATCTATGGTGCGATGACTCTTCCAAAGCTCAACTTAATTGATCATCATCATAAGAATGGAAATCCAAGTCGATAATCTACTATCTCATCAAATGGAATGATGCTTGAGACTGGGGATATCTCTGATGATGTGAATTTCGCTGCTGCTAAATGTTGTGCAAGCACAAGTAAAAATCGACATTCTGGTAAGTTTCTTTTTCCTCATGGACAAGTTCCGGATTATCTGAATGACAGTGAATATGATTACAGCCTCGAGTAGACTATTTTCTGGCGCATGAGAAGAAACACGTAATGGTTTCACTCAATCATCAGTAGATCCACTTCAAGCTTAACGAGATATCCCAAGATCTCAACATAATTCCTGGAACTCCAAAAGACTCACTCTCTCTAGTTTGTGTCATCAAAATAATAGTACAGATTTGTTGGACCACGATTCAATTTCCATCTCAGCACCACACTTTCCCACTTCTAGTGGATCACCATCTCCACGAGACCCGCCAACTGGTCAATTTTGTGTTAGAGTTAGATTTGTAGAGTGAAGACGGTCATTCTTTGAGGCGGACATCGCAACCAGTTTTATCAGCTGCACCACCTGGTTCAAGGATTGATATGCGTATTGGATTATCACATGAGCGACATACTATGTCGCAAAACAAATTAGGATCACCTCAATTATTTCCTAATCATCAATATACACCACCGCCATCCGCACCTCCTAGACAAAAACGCAGATTGAGAAAGCATTGCATTCAATTCTGATGAACTTCGGATCAAGAAATATGAATTGATAGATGGTGTTAGAGTGAATATTCACAATCATTGCATAATAATCTTGAAATTGATAATGAACCATTGGCACTACTGTCACTTGAATTTTAGCAAGAGAGCAACAATAATCACATTGTGGAAATCCCTCTTGTTTATCCTTCCCGAGTCAAATAGGATCAAACAATTCAAAGCGACTTATTTAACCTATTCTACAAATTGGTGTATCTAGTTAACCAAATAATAATTCACATGTTCAACAATTCTATATAATGATGGATCAATTCAAGGACCAATTATTCCGCAAACACAATTGCTGAACATAAGAGATTCAGAAGAAAACCATCATGAAAGTTTTGTTAGAATTACTTCAACTAGATTACCATTTGAAATTGTTTCTAGATCACAGAACACAAAGAATCAAAAGATATTCCAGAATTGACGGAATTGAAGAATGCGAGATCTAAACATCATACATAGTTTGCAAAAACTTGTGTCTAAATCTAAGCCTATGCTTCCATTGTCTCATCATCGATATCAATCTGTTTTTTCTGTTCAGCATGAATCCACTGGTGTGAGTAAAGCTCGTATATCTACTGGCTGAGAGGCATGTCGATTGTGCAGGAATAACCGGACGTTGCGTGTATGACCCCACTTTTTGCGTGTCCAATGTCAATGAGCGTAGCCTCGGTTTGTGTTCATCAAGACGTACTTGATGGTTTAATTCAATCGAGACCATTACAGAAGTTGATGAGAGTTGTTAAGCAGGCATGGTCTGGATTGTGTCTCATCAAATCCGATTCATTAATTGACTCGGGCGAGCGGCCTCCGCGCTGTGTCATCAAAATTGTCTTTGGATTTCTGGTTTGAGACCTAGGAATTCTGACGATGTTTCAATTACAAGTCGATAGCTCAGTCAATCCGTGTTGCGGAGCACAAGCAGTCGGCTTATCGCATGGTGCACAGCTCATCGGCCACAGTCATCTTTTCAACACGAGACTTGACTATCGTTTGACCAGATTATCAAAACAACACGTTCTTGAATCATGCACCGTGAATACAGTATCATTGTAGAGACTGAGTGAAGCAAATTTGGACACGCATGCCCTTCGTTGATCGCGAGTTCGATCGAGTTTCTCCCGCCACAATTGGTCAGAGTGTTCGATATCGATGGCCTGTCCGTCCGCTTGGCAACACTGGCTTTACCAGTTGCGCGGAAAAGAATGATAACCTTTAGTCACATGAGTTTGGTTCCCCGAGCTGAACAGACCTCGATAAAGTCAAATCGATGACTTACGAGATGACGGAAAACCAAGAAATAGGCGACAATCGGGTGGTCACCAGCTCGTTCAGGTTCTACAAGTCTTTGACTCCCCAGGGGTGTCCCTGTCATTCTTGAGCCCTGGATGAATGGCTTAACAATACAACTGCTAATATTTCAGCATATTGTCTGGCTGAGCATGAAACCCTAGGACGACTCACAACTCGAAGCGTGGGATATACCTTCCGAAAGTGGTAAAAGGCCAGCAACTCACTTGATCAACCTCTGATGTCAAACATGGTCAATGCGTTTCAATGCTGGAGGCTTGATTGTAATCCTCATCCAAGAGATTTCAGCTTTTCTTTTGAGACATTTTTTATGATGACCAGACTATAGTATTGTGAGCTACACATATGGGAATGGATGACATTTACTCGATTCAACACATGGATTCATTTGAGAAGCTCACGCCAGACAACAAGATCTCAAGATCAATTGTAAGCGCTGAGCAGAGAGGTAGTGACAGTCACAGTCTGATAGGAAGGCCACTACTAGAAGCTCACAGAGCAAAAAAATGTAAGAGGTTTACAAGCTACTAAAGAAATGTAGCTTCTAGAAAGAGGATATATCAGAGCTTCACACATGAATTTACAAGACCTTTCAGACATGTATAATATTGCCTGGAAATGAAGTAGGACCACAATGGGGCAGTGAGGTGGGTTGTGATTCTGTTTCTTTATTTGAATAGCTTCAATGAGACTGATTATCTTTTAGGATCATGAACTATTCCTCTTTCAGAGTACACAGATACTTATGAGCTTGTCATATCTTGATATATCTTATCTCTGTAACTTGCTTAGGCTTAAGCTTTTTCTTAATGAGTGTGTCTTGTCTTTTTTTTCCAATCTTCAATACTACATATCAGATCTTACCAAAGACTAAGATTTACAGCTGTTCACAATATTCGTGTCTGGTCGAAAAATCCCATGTGTTTTTTTGGAAACGCCACGGCCAAATACAGGCCATACAGGGCTGTCTATAAGCATACTATATGCTTATCCGCAGCCCAGGGTTAGTCAACCGTCTGTTTGGCCGCGCCGTTGGATCATTGTGCAGAACAATACACCTTCTGGCTAACTTCCCCCAATTTTTCACCAATCACCTCACCCCGACCGGCGTTTGGCCAACCTTGTTTGGTTGGCCATTCAATCATCGACCTCATCCATCCAGCTGTGTCTGTTTGAGCTCCACAACCACAGGTTGAGGATCCGAGCATCCTGCAAACAACCCAACTAGGTCTTCAAGTTTGACAACCACAGCTTCAACCCAACTAGGCCGTCAGGTTCCGTCAGGTTCCTTCAGGTTCGACAACCACAGTGTCAGCCCTGAGTACATATACATGTACCCAAAACCAACCTGTAACAGTAAAAAACACCATGTATAAAATTAATTACATGTTACATGCTGAGCATAGACTGTATGTAACACGTAATACAATGTATCAAAACCTTTATTACATATACATGAACCTGTAAAACAACATGTAATATGTAATAAATCACCATTTACACCTCATAACTCAGTTTCAAGAGTCAAATGCTTATATTACATATCACACATAACATCTATATGTAATTAAGCATTACTAGTAACAATCATTACTATATGTTAATGACTAACCCTGAACCAATGTAGTGATAATAACAAATATCACTACAGTTAGCTTTAGAGAGGAGAGTATACAAACCCCTCTCAGCCGTCAGAGATTCCCCCCAAGCAATAATTACCCACTACTTTTAAAGAACAACTAAAGTTCACCTGAAGTAAATATCAAGAGTCTTATATATAAATAAGACTAGTGATAAGCTTCATCAACTTTAATCAGATCCCTGATTAAAAAGAGGTAATACATTCTTCACTCCCCTCTGGATCCTCTACTTCCCCTAAGTAGAAACCCAATCAAGGCTAGTGACCTCCAACAACTCCAGGCTAGTGACCTTAAGAAGAACTTCAGGCTGGTGACCTTAAGAATAACCCCGAGTTGGTGACTTTAAGGACAACCAGATTGGTGAACTAACTCACTCTTTGATCTGTTACTATAAGGATTAAAGGAAGGTCCAGGATCCAACCTTCACTTATAATGACAACAAATTATTATAAACAATAAACCTCCTCCTCAGGAGTCAACTAACTGAAGTCTCTCTGGGTTTATCCAAACAGACCCTATTTGCCTATGTCTACTTCGTACATGTCACCGCAATATCCCCCCAACGCCATGATCAACCCAATTTTCAGCCTTAGTCCTTCTTTCCCGACACCGTATTTGTCTCAATTGTCTTCCGCATCCTCAAACAACCGTCATATCAACCCCTGCATCTATGACTCCTCCCAGTCTGCTTCATCCACTTGGTCGGCCATCTTTGACACCTCCCGGCCTTTGTTGTTGACTCCTTTGTCTAGCTCGTCCTCCTTGGCCTCCTTGATGACACCTGGACGTCATCAGGTCAATGCCCTAAGTCCCGCTTTAAAAAGAGCCGCACCCCAGCCTGAGTTCAATGACACTACCGCCGACACGGACATGGATGATGATGGTGAGTCAATGCTATGTTGATTGATTTCATATGACCTCAAAAGAATGACACTCACTCCTTTTGATTATTTGTTTACACAGCCTTTTCAAATGTCGGGCCCGCGCACCTGGATGATGATGACGATAGTAAGTAGTTCATCGCTGGCGCATGATGAGGTAAAAAACAACTGACACTGACACAATTGATTACGCAGCTGGTCCTCTTCCAGAGCCAGTTCTCATTGATCCTCGCATCAACGCTCCAGACGAAGCCCGAAATTTCCAGGTGCATTTCAACATCCATCAACCCCAGGAACCCGACACCGAACCTTCCCAGACAAAACGTCAACGCACCCCTGGTGACACTTGACCTAGCCTTCAAAAAGCTTCCAAGCCCAAATTTATTAACTTCAAACCCCCTCTCCCACACAGTATCACCCTCACCCCCAAACATATGATGTTTGCTCCTTTCTTAGTCAAAATTTTTTGCTCCTGTGACGAAAGCTTACCCGGGGTATCCACAGCCCTTTGCCGCGCCTGGGACGACCGTAGCCTGTCAATCCAGGGGTTTATCAACGGTCACCGTCAATACAAGTGTAACGACAAAGTCCCCATCTCTAGCCCTCTTGCTTTCAACGATTTCATCTATGCTGTGTTGACCACTAAGGCCACCACGGTCATGGGTGTTAAGCTTGTGCACCATGACCCTCGATCCACTGCAAACTCCGTTTGGGCTTTGGCGAGTCAATCAATCCCCCCACTGGACTCCGACACCTTGGATGGACTCGATTCTGAGTGTTCGGTTGGTGTAAGTGAAATCATTCACTACTATTCTTTCAATTTTAGCCAAACTGACTTACCCTCTCACCAGTAGGACATCCTTAGCCCTGGGGAACGAAACCTTTGCACCTTGATGACACGCTTTGAAAAAGACTTCAAAGCAGGTGAAATTGTTGCGAGTGTCGTCAATCCAAAGGATACTGGGAAGGTGTTGCTCTTAAATACCGCGCAAATCTGAATCTGCGCTAACGACTGGGTCAGTTGAATCTTACTCGTTTATCTTTCACTCCTATTCAAGATCATCCTAGCTGAATTTTTGGTGACTAACTCAGGCTGATGGGAAGCCCGGGGTGAATGATGTCAATCCGCCAATGACACGACCCGGTCCCAAGTGGATCAATGTTGCCGACTATGAGAAAGAAAAAAATCTACTACTTGGTCTCAATTCAGGCCAAGGCACTTTGTCAAGCGCGACTTCAGATGCAACAGTCATCCATCACAATTATCATGGACAACCTCCCCCCCCCCTTACGGTCAAACTCCTCCCCTCTATGCCACACCTTCAGCCCCGATTACTGGTGCCTTGCCTGGACCCTTGATTCCAAACCCTCCCATTTCGACCTCTTTGCCTACTGCTCAAACACCCCGTCTATCACCTCCTCCTGGAGATATCCCTCAGTTTGAGGATTTCCTGAACTTCGTGGGTATCACACCCAAAATGGTCCAGACTCGCAAAGCTTTATCAAATGAAGGTATTGATGATTTCAGAAGTTTATTAGACTGTAGCACCTATACGGTGGCCAATTTCCGAAGCATGGGGATCTCCTTCGCTCATGCAGAGGATCTGTGGAAGGCTGTACCTGACTTCATTCAGGACATCTGCTCCCAATTCTCAGATTGATATTGTTCACAATCAATTCCATTTTGCTTGTTTGTTTTGGCAATTCATTTGTTTCCTCCAAAAGATTGTTTTGTTTCAATTTCTTCCGACTGAGCAATAAACCTTGTCAGCTTTCCTCTCTCTGACGCTCTTAAAAGTTGTCTACCATGGCAGATTTCTCTTATTTTGGATAGCCCTTATTTCTGACTTCAGTGTGACGTAATCAAATCATCCCCACTCAAAAAGTTTGTGCTTGTGCGACCAGTGTGCCCTCTTTTCCCAAGCGACTTTCCCTTATTATGAAATAAGAGAACTATTGAGTCCACTTTTCTCAGGCAGCCACACTTGGTTCAAACCAAACTACACATTGATGAAGGGACATCACACCGTGTATTCAGTGTAGTAATGCATTTGCACCTCGGTCTCAACATCACAAGGCCAATACCGCAAGAGCACCACACTATGTTGCGGTTGTGGTGTGGTTGCGTAGCGCTTTTGGGCACGCAATAGCAACACAATATAGTGCGGTGCCAGCGCTCCACAACCCAGGTTCAAAAAACCCGTTGCTCAGAAACCCGCACCGCAATTGCAGTCGGTTTTTGACAGTTATTTAGGGAAAATCTTGCAGAAATAGGGCAATATTGCGCATTTTCCGCAATATTTGCCCGACCGCTGTAGTATTTAAAGCTCAACAAGAGCTTTACAACACCTAAGAAGGGATAATCTACTACGTGTAATATAGTAGAAGTTGCCCAAAGACTGCCTTCTTCAAAGAAACCAGCACAAGGGCACTTGCTGACCACTTTGTGATAACAGAGAAATAGATAAAGCACCAGAGAAAATAAAGCAATACTGTTGTGTAGTATTATTCACAGATTTTAAGCGCAAAAAAGTCACACACTATGTTTATTACTAGCAATACTGTTGTAAGTATTATTCCCAATTTGACTTGTAGTCTTTAACACACGTAAATAAATTTCTCCTTGCTTTGAAGGGGCGGATTTAAGTGATCTTAGTACAAATATAGTAAATAAATGATGATTTATAACACTACAACAAAGGTATAAGATGCAGAAAAGGGTGCTACAATCCTAAAATCATCAAGGAGTACTTATATCCACATGTAACAACTTCTAAAACAGTCAACAGCTTCAAAAACCAGTCAAATCCGCCTAAATAACCCTAAAAACCATGTAATGACGCAATGTAATGATCTTGTTACTAATGTATGATGTAATTTTCACAGCCAAAAGTGATCAATGACGCAATAATATGATGTACAACACTTCTTAAGATGAATACAGGTGATTTTTTCCTTGTAAACTAGCTGAAACCCAATTTTTGAGATTACGAATTTTTTCATATGTGCTCCAATTTTTGATTACTAAAGTGCATCTTGTAGCCCACGTGTTACTGATCATTTCTGACACCTACATGACCTACTTCTGATGAGTGATGAGTAAGATATTGAGTTGTGAAGTTAAGGTTTTTGGTGTTACATGTGACTTGTGACTGTAAATTTGACATTCACACCAATTTCTTATTTCCCTTATAACTTTTTACATACACCTCCGTTACTAATGATTTAAAGGTTGTACATTACGTAATCCACTCTTCTGCGTTGAATGAGCCATCTACCAACTTTATCTGACGTCATTTGACATATGTAATTAGCTGAAAACCTCCATTTTCGACGATTTTCACCTATTTTCTTCACTTTTCACAGCTGCTACTCTCTTTTTCTTGCTCGTGTAATATGACATCATCTTCTATAACCTTAAAAATCCCGGAAAATCCTCTTGGCAACCTTAATTTCCACTACTACTACCATTAAATAAATGTAAATTCATAAATCCCCCCTTTCAAGCAAAAACTCGGCATTTATGCCTAAGGCTTTGCTCGAAAAGAAGAATTTACAGGTTTACACCTATCCACGGTGCACCTCAGTTTCAGCCATCAGGAATCTTTCGAAACCTTGATTTGCTCGCGAGGTGCGCGTGGATTGAACATTTCTTGCCTCCAAGTTGGCCTCCTTTTATATTCCAAAATATTTCACCTTTTTTTCATTAATTTTGCTTGGCACAGTTAAATTCTTGAAATATTTCCCGTGTTTTGCTAAATCCAGTACAAGCTCAACTTGTTATCAAATTTCCCAGTGTCATGATCCTAATCACGGACCTGCTTACTCTACATCAAATGCTAAATACGGACGTGCATAGTACATACTCCGCTTCAAAGCCCTCTTGCCATATTCAGCTACCTCGTTATCCGGCTTTCAATCCTTTCACAGGCATTTTTTTATTCCACTGCCATTCAATTCCATCCTCTACCATGTTGCAAAAGCTGCTTGCCGAATAAAGTTTCTTTTCACGCTCCAATTCAACAAGTTTTTATGCAATGCAAGTAGTTTTCTCCCACTTCCAGCCAAATATAGTACATATACATGCAGTAGTTGCTGCGCCTGCCAGCACTGATTGCTATACCTATCCATATGTTGGTCACATTCCTTATGCTCTGCTCACAATATTTTGTGCCATATTGGTATATATCTTCTCATTCCAATCTTGGACAACATCTATTACATACAAACCTCAAGCAATCATCAACACTACCATTTACCTCCGCTCAAGTTTATACCCACTTCTCTTTTTCTGCCATCTTACCTAACCCGTCCTCTTAGCAGAATATCCAGGTCCAGTATAATCCATTGTTGCAAGCCAAGCCTCACCAGTTGACTGCTTACTTCAACTGTACTTTTCGATGAGTCTAATGCCAAACAAGGAAAAAGGAGAATTAAATGATACAGTTTCTCTCAGAATCGATTTCGGAAATTTTCAACTATGATAAAAATCTGCAAACCGGTCTGGAAACTGAGCTATCATATCACCAATGCCATCATGGCATCAAATGAAGATTTAACTTTTATAATCCACTGTCTAATTTTGACGACTCAAGCTGAAATCATCACTTGAAGAATCATGAAATCGAATCAAACCGAAGATAATCAGGACAGTTTCAATCAAGCTAATTAGGAAAAAACCTCAATAGTAATACCTATCGCAGCTGAATCGATTTTGATCAACTATCAAGATTATAATCATAGATTAGATTTAAATCAATTAATTTCATCTTGTCAAAAAAATGGTTCTCAAGCTACAACATTATATCAATTAATCAAAACCATTAACAAAATGGTAAGTCTTGAGAAAACGTCCGAGTCACAATCAAATAGATCGAAAAAAGTTTGATATCTAACCAATCTTCGATTCAATATCCTTTTTAGTGTTGATGGATTTTATCAGATGACAAGCGAACCATGACTCCACATTCAACTGAAGATGAAAAAACGATTCTTAGGTTTCACCTCAAATTTGATGTCATCAGGATTACAAGAAATGCTCAAGTTTTCGAATGAACTGTCATACCTATCAGTAATTGTACTCACAGCAGGAGATATACAAGATGACATCGTCAAATTTTTAGGTTCAACTTATCTATCATCTTTTGATTCGAACTCGAGGTCAAATTCACACAAATCAGGTTCAATTCGTATAGAAAATTTATTTGTACCCAATGTAAACTATTATCCATTTGAAGATTGCTTTATGCCAATTTTAAATCAAAGGAGAGAAGCCAAATCAAAAAAAACAATTCGACTCCTTCTAAAGCAATTGAAAGACTTGGAATTGAAATCCTGATCCTCATTCTGCCCTGAATTATAAGAAAAATATAAATCTGATTGACAATTATGCAGCTCTTAATCTTTTGGTGATATGTTTTTGTTTGATTAAAATGGATCCCGTAGATCACCTAAAATAGCCAGTACAATCATTTTAGGTGATGGTGTTTGTAAACATCAAATTGTTGATGCAATGTCACATCACATGTAAGCCGGTTTAACCTTTTCTGAATTTCTCTCACTCATTGTTGATTCAACTTGTTTTATCAATATTTTCCTTTTGGGGACAGGTATGTAGAGGAATGGAGTGGAATATGCTTTGTATGTTGACCCGGGTCAAGAATTAGATGGATCTGATTCTGGTCTTGGATCCAATGAAGCAGTCCGTTGAGGAAAGATTAACATGGATTCAGACAGTGTCCAAGTTAGTCACCTTTTATATATCAATTTATGTTGTTTATAAATCAATTACCTAACTGTGATGTGTTTGGTCTTCTTAGGTCTTGGCTGATGCTACTTTAGTCTCTCCTTTATTTGTTGCTGCTACTTTTTGTAAGAAATCAAGAAGTCAAAAAGATGAAGGATCAAATTTATAATGATTACCAAAGCTGATGTGAAACAAAATATAATGTAATTGTTTTTTATGAATTCAAGTGGAATAGGATGTTTCTTTTTTGAAATTTCAACCTCTTTGTTTTTTGGTAGTCTGTTTGGGAACTTGATTTACCAATCAAAGTTTGGGAGGTTTGATCTTGATTGAAGGAGGGGTTATATCAAACTATATCATCTTTTCTCTCAGGTACTGACTTAATAGTATCTCAGTATCATAAGGGATCATTTTGCCTTCATTTAAAGACTTTGTGAGACTTTTTTTGTAAGATGGTGTTTCAGCTAAACACATTCCTTTTTGCTATGATCCCAAAGTTCCTGAAGGATATATTGAACCTATGACACAAGACCAGTTTTATTGAGCAATTCTTCAAGGAACAACAAAGGCATCTAGGGTACCTTTGTCCTATGTGAGTAAGATGGGTCAGGGTACATCACCAATGATAACTTATCCTTTATTCACAGTGTGTGATGTTAAATAAATCTATATTCTTAGAAACCCCACCTTCAAGCAAAAACTCAGTGTTTCACCATAGATTCAAGTACACAAAGCTCTGAGATCACACTTGAAATTAGGCTTTTACAAGTTTACACCTATATGTTTTATATCTACACAACCTAATTTGGACAACAGCTATTACATATAGACTTCAAGAAATCAGTGACACTACCGTTTACCTGTGCAAAATTGTATACACTCTTCTCATTTTCTGCTGTCTCACCTAACCTGTTGTCTTATATGTATTTCCACCTTCAGTATAATTCATTGTAAAAATAAGCTCAGCACAAAGGTTTGTGCTGAATCTCATATGGCTGCTTTTCACCTGCTACCTAACCTAAAATAATCATTTGAAGAACAGTGCTATCCATAAAGGATATACACACCACTCAACTAACAATCTTGCTTGTCCAGCCAGAATGCCTGTAGTGTTTTTGTGTCCTAACAGTACTGACTTATTCATCTCAACGTTATCTTAAATTTAGCTCCTGTTTCCTCTAATAACATCATCACTTCCATTCCAATGCACTCTGTATATATCTTCCACTCTGTCACTTCAGTACACTCATCAGTTGGGTAATTTGTAGCTAACTGTTGCATTCACTGGGTGACCCTTTTTCCACTCCTCATTCTCTGGAGCATTATTTCAACAACATAAGTCAATATATACTCAACTGAGATTTTTCTTTGTCCATCCAGTCTGCTTGTAATGATGTGTGCCATCAGTTGCAAATAAATGTCTCAAATGCTTCATAGTTTTAGCCCCTGGCTCTCACAATCATTTCCACGATGTCATTTGAATAAGCCCATTGGGTGCATAAATCATAGTCAATCCTCCCTTCCACTGGACAATCTCTTTTCAACTACTCATTCTGTTTAGGCTGATGTCAACCGCATAAGCTGATATATGATAGAGTCATTACTTTCAAAATACAATTCATCCTGCGGGTATTTTGGACTGTCCCATCTTCTTATTATTGGTCCTTCCTCCATTTGTCTGGCTACAACATATACAATATCTAGACCCTCATAATTTCCAGTGTATATTCTTGCTGCTCTTCAAGCTAATGTTCTGCTATTCTTTCTCAAATGTCCCGTTTTTCTCATGTCACCACTCAAAGTTTTACTATCAGTTTGTTTTAATCTCCTTACTGTGCTTTACATTGGATACTCAGAACATGCCATTGGTATATCCATAATATCTATCCACATGCTATGTCTGATTAAAAAGCTCCCTTGTATTCACTTAATTGAACTCAATCTCCTCCCCAAAAATATTTATGGCTTAAATTTCTTGCTGGATTTATCCACCGATGCTGTCTTACACTACAAAAGTGGAGTGAAAGTCAAGGTTCAAATTGTCCATCATGTAGCTTATGATTACAAAAGCATGGTGATCTGGAGGCACATTCTGTCACAAGTTTCTTGGAGTTCAATGCCTCAAATGTAGTGAATATCAAAGAGAATTGTATTTATAATAGATGATTATATGTGCACTGAAGTTGCCCTTAATGTAACTAGATCAGGCACAATGATTTTACAGAGAAGATCAAAAATGAGGGCATGCTCATGTCAAAGTATCAGGGGTGAAGATTTGGCACCAAAGAATTGTTACCCTGAAAGATGTAAAGCAATTGTTGAGGAAAGAGTAATGAATAGACATCAAACTAAATGAGCTCAGTCTCAATTCTTCTGTATAACTGCAGACATTCCTAATAATCCTGTCACACCCAAAGTCAAATATAACAAGTTGAAACCTATTTGCTACAAGACAAAACCTTGAAAATGTGTCTAAGGTCATTCCCTGTGGTAAAATCCTGTAATTCTACACACAATTTTGAAATTTTATCCTGTAAATAGTTAGGTTTCAACACCTGATGTGTTCAACTTTAGGTTGTGAAACACATAAAGATAAGCTTGGAGCTGCTTCACCTGTGTAGTATAAAAATGGTTTTTAGAATTTTCTTTCTATTCCTATCTATTACATTCACCACTGACCTAATATCCACTTGTGATCAGCTGCCTGTCACACAGTGCCAGTTCAATTGAACTTGAAGTTGATGCAGTCAACTGAGGAAATGTGTGTGTTTGTCATTGTCCTGATAGATAATTTATTTCTCTTTGCTTGACTCTGACTTGAGCTTCAAATTCATTCAACTGTAAGGGCATAGCATTATTTATTAAGTGTAAGGGCGGGCAAGCCCGCCTAAATTCTAGTTACATATGTAAACTACACGCATAACCCTTGTTTACCAACTTCGAAAAAGTACCTTTCTGCTAATAACTTCTGTTTTCCCTTATCAACCTTGAAGATTAAAATTGTTACTGTATAATAAACTGTTGTTCTTTCATATTCTAACCTCATAAAACCCATAACCTAATTAAAAATAAGCTAAAAACCATTTTCCAACTTTCACACCTATATTTTCGAATTTTTCTTATCTTTTCTTTTTCTGTCTTTTTGTAATAACTTTGTAAGTAAACTATGTTGATCTTAATAATAATTTTGAAATAAGATGACATAATAATGAGCTAATAAGTATACATAAGCCTCTAAGAGCTTCAATTGATCTGAAAACCTGAATTTCGAATTCTCTGCTATATTGAAGTTTGCTAATAAATTGGTAAAGTGAAAGATGATTTAATTTTCTTGCTTGATATCATAAATAGATCACCACACCGCTCCACAACGGCGACGTAGAAAAAAAACGCCCCATTGCGGAGTGGTTGTGTAGCGTAATAATGCGCCGACTGCGCAACGCAATGGAAATAGGTCAAAATCCATTGTGTTGCGTAGCACTTGCGGTGTTGACAAGGCCCTTCTCAGCCAGCCTCACTCGGGTAAAACTTACCCACAAGGTGATTAAAGGTCATCGGTGAGCCTTTGAGTCTTGCGTTTGAAACTTGGTTTCAACCTCACAAGTGCTTTTTGGCCTTCAAGCCAAAAAGGGACTGATTGAACCAATCAATCTCACAATTGGCTCACCCAATAACCATTCATAGAAAGATCAACAATTTGATTCCATAGGCATTTGGAAATGCAGACCCAGAGAATATGATAGACAGGGCTTAAGAAAAGTCAACACAAGGATAAAAAATGTAGACACCCGTTCAAGACAGCACTACCAGTTATCAAATCTTTATAGCTCCACTCGTTCAAGACAGCACTACGAGGTATCAAAACTTGATAGCTCAACATTGTATCCTACGTCCAGTAGCTGCAAACAGAGTATAACTTGTGCATCAGAGCGCCAGTGAAAATATTCCAAGACCGGTCCATGAGTAAATCAATTTTGTCAGCTGCCGCGGTTTGGACCAAGCTTTGGGTCCGTCAAAAGTGAGATTTTAGTACGCTAAAAGCTTTCTCAATGGGGTTGAGGTCAGGTGAGTACGGAGGGAGGTAGATGATACGGATCCCCCTTTCCTCAGCCAAATTGGTGATACACTCGCCATGATGGATTCTTGTGTTGTCCATCACCAAGACTGAGTTGGCTTGTGGGTAAGGGTTCATGACCGGTAACTGCAAGATCATGTCAGTTAACAAATAATGACACTGTGAGTAAGTAATGAGATACCCCCCAGTTGATGCTTCAGGAAGCCCTCAAAATCACAGCAAAGATAAGATCCTTCTTGGCAGTTGAGGGCTAAAACGCCGCCCTGGAAAATCACCGGAAGGAGCAAATATCTTTTCCCACCTTGACTCCAAGGAACCCTTTTGGTCCAATGGCCTTTTGAGGCTCGGCCAAAATGACGACACAGAAAACGCGCCTGGAGGGCACACTCATCTGTTGCATTGATGTATAAGACTTCAAAATATGATGATGGGTATAAATAGAAAGATGGCTTACCTAGAAACACCAGCATGTTTGGTGTCAACTCGCCAACCGCGTATGGATATTGAGCTTGTTTGC